AGTACCCTATCTAGTTCTGTTTGTTCCTTCAAACCCCATTTTATTGCCGACAAATCCTCTTCTTGTTTTATATTGGTATACAATGATTCAATTTTTTTTTTTTTTTTATTTCAGGTACTTACAGTATATAGCGCTGTCAATTTACACAGCACTTTACACATATATATTGAACATTCACATCAGTCCCTATCCCTCAAGGGGTGGGGTGTACAATCTAAGGTCCCTAACTCACATTCATACATACACACATTAGGGCCAATTTAGACAGGATCCAATTAACCTTCGAGCATGTCTTTTGGAGTATCTACAGTTACCACTATATCATCATTATTTCCTTTCCACCCAGCCCCTTCACTCATAGGGCTACAGCTTCTATAAATGAAATACAATCTATGAATGGAGTACGGGTGGATGATGATTAAAAGGTCCATTCTCACCCCGTGTTTTATTCATATGTAGCCAAGTGCTGGCTATATCACTATACAGTTCAGAGACACTTACAGGCGGGACTATGATTGAGCCTTTTTCCCCCTAGTGCCCAGAACTGGGAAAGCTACATCACTTCCTATTAGCAGAATAGAGCCAATTCTCCTGGGCAGCAGAAAGACCTGTAGTCCTACAGCCAATGCATATTGTATTCCTGAGTGCTGGCTGAACTACACATTCCAGGGAGCTGGCGAACCAGACGGATTCTGGGAGAGCAGATATATTCAACTACAAGTGTTGGACTCGATCTCTGGGCGGAGGATTCGGCGCTGGACTTTGGGAGACTGCTCTTTTCCTTAACCACATCCCCACCACCCTATAGCAGGTATACTGCTACAGGACAGCAAGCACAAAATCACGTTTATATATGTGATTCTGTATTTCCAGGTAGGGGGCGTGCATACCCCCTACCCGCGCCACCGTTAGCCGCCGCAGCTGTCAATCACTGGGTCCAGGCTGGTGATTACCCGCCGGCGCCCGGTGATTACTGAGGATTTACGATGGGGAGGAGGGCTGATTTGTTTTTACTAACAGTCCTCCTCCGTGTCGGCTCAGGCACACTGCTCTGGATGGCTGTGCACATGACTAAGCACATGTTCGTGTGAAACGCGTCTACTGCTCCTCTGTCCTGTCTTGGAACTGTCATGTTCTTATATTGCATGTAAAGGATTCCAATAAAGGATTTCATCTACCACATTGCTGTTTGTGCGGCCAACCATTCTGTTTTTCCATTGCATCTGTGATCATGGATTGGGCCAGCACATGCGTGTCTGTGGAGGGGTTATGCAGATTCAGCACTCACCTGGAGCAGATCTTTTGCTCTTTCAAAAGGGACACATCACACTGAAGGAAAGTAATGTCCCTTGTGCTTACTTTGTAATTTTGTAAAGTAAACGTAGGCTTTAAGTTGTAAATATGCACACAAAGCAAACCAAGAATCTGTAACGTCAACAAGTCAGCATGAAAGGGAAGTTAAAATGTATTTGTAGTACAAGGTAGATTTTTCAGTTTGTATTTAATATAATTTGGGTATTATGATCTTTTCCAGTAGTTTGTTACAAGGCTGATATGTTTGTAGCTTCTTACTTGCATCTTGCCCAAAAAAAACTGAAGAGCAGACTGCAACATTTGTAGTAATTCTTTCCACTGACAAATGTGGCTTGAGAAAGTGCAGTTTGTTACTCTATGTCTGGCAGGAAAACCTCTCTCCTTCCAGCTGCTCCGGGCTAGGCTCAAAGCATCCTATGCTTTCTGCTTTGCTGCTAAGATGCAGAGTGTAGTTGTTGACAGCTCTGCAATACTTATAGAAACAGTTGAACATCTGCAGGTGAAATTCCACTTTAAAGGAACATTGCAGAACAAATTAGGAACTGAAAGTGCATTCTGTCTGTAGCACTGTCCCCTTACGAATCACTAGAGATTTGGGTCGCCCTTTAGTCCTGCATAGCCAGGCAACACGCATTTCCTTCTATCTGTACACTCCAGAGACAGTAAACAGTCTTTGAACTTCTGTTTTGCATTTTATTAGGGGGGATTTTATTAAGCTTGGATAGGGATTGGATGCCCAAGGAACTGTTTAACTGAGGACAACGTCTCGGAACTATATACAAGTGCTCAGAAGGGTTCTCTTCTCTTTTTGGAGAGCTAGCCAGCCTCTCCGGGTGTAGAATTCCCGGACAAGGAGATCTAGAGTCTGACTCTTTAAAAGCACAGTCCAGCTGGGGCTAATCAGGTTTCCCACCCAAATGCCTCTCCCCTATTCCCATCCAGGGGTGAAAAATTACTCACTGTCCCTCTTCCGTAGGCTGCAGGTCAGTAGCTGCTTTCAGGCCTTCTGCTGGGATAGCTCCACAGATGGTCCTCTCACAGGGGGCCGGTGAGGACCAGGTTTCCAGCTGGGAAAAAGAGCATTGTAGATAATTAGAAATGGAAAAAGGCTGGTCTGTCAATGTTGCTAGTCACTTTGCTATGTTTGTCTGGTTCCTGGAGTTTACAGGTTGCTTGTAAACATATGGGTCAATGTAAGACTTCAGATATGTCAAGGAAGGATGTTCATTCATTGTTAACCACTTGCCTACCGGGCACTTTTACCCCCTTCCTGCCCAGATCAATTTTCAGCTTTCAGCGCTCTCATACTTTGAATGACAATTGCACGGTCATGCAACACTGTACCCAAACTAAATGTTTATAATTTTTTTGAGAGAAAAATAGAGCTTTCTTTTGGTGGTATTTGATCACCACTGGAGCTTTATTTTTTGCTAATAAAAAGACCAAAAATTTGGAAAAAAAGTTTTTCTTAGTTTCTGTTATAAAGTTTTGTAAATAAGTAATTTTTCTCCTTCACTGATGGACACTGATAGGCTGCACTGATGGGCAATGATGAGGAGTTACTGATGGGCACTGATGAGGCTGCACTGATGGGCACTGATGAGACTGCACTGATAGGTGGCACTGATGGGCACTGTTAGGTGGCACTGATGGGCAGCACTGATGGGCACTGTTAGGTGGCACTGATGGGCACTGTTAGGCGTCACGACACTGATGAGTGGCACTGATGGGCACTCTTGGGTGGCACTGATGGGCAGCACTGATGGGCACTGTTAGGTGGCACTGATTAGCACTGTTAGGTGGCACTGATCAGCCCCATTAGGTGGTACTGATGGGCACTGTTAGCGGCACTGATGGGCACTGTTAGGTGGCACTGATGGGCATTGATAGGTGGCACTGAAGGGCACTGTTAGGCAGAACTGATGGGTACTGTTAGGTGGCACTGATGGGCAGCACTGATGGGCGGCACTGATTAACTGATGGGCACTGATTGCCAACACTGATGGCCAGCACAGATGAGCACTGATGGGCACTATTGGCTGCACTGATGGGGCTACACTGATCACCAGAACCCTGATGATCAGTTTAGATGCCCCCCTGCGAAATGGCGTCTACCGACTCTCCTCTCCTCACGCCCCATCAGCGTGAGGAGAGGACTGCCGATAACCGGCATTTCCTATTTACCCGGTGATCAGCTGTGATTGGACACAGCTGGTCACATGGTAATAGCGGCTGTGATTGGCCCATTTCGTAGCCATGTGATCAGCTGTGTCCGAAGGACACAGCGATCAGAGATTGCGTGCAGTGCGCACCCCATGGAGACCCTCCCAGAACTAGCCGACTGCGCTGTAGCCATCTTTCGGCTATAGCATGGTCAGGAACAGGTTAATATTGAGTTGTTAATTCATTGTTAACATTGAATTAAAAAAACAAGCATGTTATACTTACCTGCTCTGTGTACTGATTTTGCACAAAGCAACCCTGATCCGCCTCTTCTCCTGGCCCCTCCCTTCTGCCTAGTGCCCTCATAGCAAGCAGCTTGCTATTGGGGCACCTAGGCAGACTCGCTCCCAAGCCAATAGAAAGCATGAAGGTAAACACTTTGAACCTTTACATCCACTTTAAGCTGTGATTTATGAATATGTACTCTTCATGCAGCTCTAGCTCCTTTCACTAAAACACAACCATCTTTAGAAGTAGCAATTATTCCAGATAACATTGTACTTTTGGTTATATGTTGGTTATGTGTTGAGACGGCTTGTTTTCTTTAAAGTGATGTTAAGTACGCAGCTTCTTTATATTTTAATCCTTGCCTATGTTACAATTTAAAGCAAAGCTCCATCCAAAAGGGGAAGTTCCACTTTAAACACCTCGTCCCCCACTCCCTGTTAAGGTTTGGAATCTCCCCGCAGTCTTCTGGGACCATTCACAATGCACAGCGCCACTCGCGCATGTGCAGTGGGCACCCGGCTATAAAGCCACAAGCTGTCACAGCTGGGTGCCCACACTTAATATGTTGGCACCGGAGACACAGGACGGCCGGTGAATGAGGACACTGTTGGATCCTAGGACAGGTGAGTGGCTGTTTTTAAAAACTCAGCAGCTACAGTTTTTGTAGTTGCTGACTTCTTTTTTTCACCTGAGACTGAAGCTCTGCCTTAAGCTGGTTCTGCTGCCCCAGGTTTCCTGTTGCAGGGTGGCTTCTTTCTCTTGCAGAATCCTAGGACGCCACTCTTTAATGCAGGGACTATGTTCGTATGTCCCTCAAATCAATAGAAAAACACAGCCCTGTAGCATAGGATGGTAAGGCATGCCCTGTTCCTTCTCCCTTCTCCAAGTTAACAGATTGGCTTCAGATTGCACTGCCCACTTGTTAAAGTAGAACTACAGGCCAAATAGTTTTCTGAATAAAGTAAAGGAGGGTTATAACCCTTGTCAGGTTTTTATTGCTATCTGTATCTCATTGGGGAGATTTCCATTCACTTCCTGGTCCATAGCCACAACAGGAAATGAGAGGAAATCCCTGTCCGGCTGAAGGTACACTCACAGACTGCAGTGCCAGCCCCCACAGTGTCCCTGATCACTGCCCCCGTGTAGTCCTAATAATAAAATGCAGCAAGCACCTGTCACCTGTCCCAGTGCTCACAATAACACCGCAATACACCATACCAATGCCCTGATCACTGCCATACCAGTGTTCTGATCACTGCCAAATGTCATATCAGCGCCATGATCACCGCCATACCCCATACCAGCACCCTGATCACTGCCATACAACATACCAGCACCCTGATCACCGCCATATGCCATAACAGTGCCTTGATTTCCATCATACTCCATCATACACCATACCATACCAGCAACCTGATCACCACCATACCAGTATTGTGATCACCGCCATACCTCATACCAGCATCCTGATCACCGCCATACCCCATACCGGCGTTCTGATCACCGCCTTAGCCAATCCTGATCACCGCCTTAGCCAATGCTAGCATCTGATCACCACCATACCCTATACTAGCATTCACCCCGTAGGTCATACCAGCGTCCTGATCATGGCCATACCCCATACCAACGTCCTGGTCATGGCCATACCCCATACCAGCATTTCTGATCACCGCCATACCCCATACCAGCATCCTGATCAGCATCATACCAGCGTCCTGATCACCGCCATACCCCATACCAGCATCCTGATCACCCCCATACTTTATACCAACGTCCAGTATTTTAGGATCCCATCTGATCAGTTTTCAGATATATATCCCATAGTTTTAATCCTCTAAAACTTTAACATAGACTAAATAATATACACTGTTTTGATTATTTTTTTACCCAAAAATGGAGCAGAATACATTTTGGCCTAAATTTATGAAGAAAGGATTATCTATTTGCAAAATTTTATAACATCAACTGAGCAAAAAATTATTTTTCTTTTCACAATTTTTGGTATTTTTTAATTTATATCACAGAAAATGAAAAACCCAGTGGTAGTCAAATACCATCAAAAGAAAGCTCTATTTGTGTGAAAAAAATTATAAAAAACGTTCATATGGAACAGTGTTTCATGACTGAGTAATTGTCACTCAAAGTGTGACAGCTCAGAAAGCTGAAAATTGGCCTGGACTGGAGGGGGGTGAAAGTCTCTGAACTTGAAGTGGTTTTATAATGCTTATGATGGTATTATATGACTGTCCTCTTGGTTGTCAACATGTGGAAGACTATGTTAAACATTGTACTTTCTAATAGCCTTTCACTGAAAAGTCAGCTTGTTGTACTGTCCCAGATTATTGAAAAAATATAAACACGGAATGCAAAAAAAATTCTACAGCCATTATTTTATGCCCAGCATTACCAAGATAATAATCTATACTCTGCAGTCTTAAGTGTTTGTGGAATAACACAATACAATACAACATAGGCAATAAGAGCAAACTAAACACATGTGTTGAGGCTAGTCAGTGGTCACTTTACAAGACCAAAGGGCGAAAATCAAGTCGGATAAGTAAAAGCTAACATTGGCAGTTGATTAGCAATAGCATGATACTGCCAAAAGGCTAAAGAACACTGCTGATGTGCTGAACATAATTATGAAACAAAGTAAGAATTGTGAATTGAACTGCTGCTGCAAGAGATTGATGGGAAAATTGATGATGATGATCAGAATGAAAATAAGGGTATAAAATATCAGTTTAAGCAATAAATCTAACAAATAAGGGTTTTTGTCAGGGTCCTGTCCATGGCAGGAGTTCTGGAAGATCTGGCATTTCTGCAATATCTACATGGCCGCAGAAGTACACATCAGCCTCAGTCTGGTGCCAGACGGCCTTTATAAGGAGGCTCATCACTTCCTCTGGTTGCTGGATGATCTCTAGCTCCCCGTGCCCTGTTCCTGTTTCCTGTGATTCTGACTTGTGATTTCCTGTTACCGGCTCGGCTTGCTCCTGGACCTGTCTACTCTGATTTACCCCTGATCTGACCTCGGCTTGGCTTACAGACACTCTCTCTCTCTCTTGCTCCTCTATGTATGACCTAGGCTATCCCATCTGACTACGTCTGCTCTGATTCCCACCTGGTACCTGACCTTGGCTTGAACTGACTATCCAGTAAACATCCAAATCCCGGAAGGGCTTGCATACCTTGCACAGGCGCCTCCTGTCTGCAGACCTATCTCCGTTTACATCAGCTGTGCTTCTGAGTGGACCACCAACTAGCACTCCTACAGGCGACCTGTGCAACTTTGGGCCTGACTCCCGCTGTCCCACTCTCAGGGGAGTCCGGAACTTAGCCGCAAGGGAAGCCCTCTCTCCATTGGCCTCCATCACCAGGTACGTGATAGTTTTTTTCAGGACACAAATATTAGCAATGTAGCATCCTCCTAGTTTTGCTAGAGGGAGCTAGAGTTCTGATTGTCAGTGAGGAAGGCTGAGTAGAAGCCTGGGTGTAATAGCCAGAAGGTCAAATTGTGGTCAAAAGGCTCTGCAGACCACCCCCTCTGGAATTTCCCCTTGCTCTGGGATTTTTGGAGGAAAGCCCTAGAGGCAGTGGGTGGGTCTGAGGAGTGACTAGCTGCACTTTTGAGGAATCCTTGGCAATCCTCAACAAGAGGTTGGCAGGGGGCTGGACAACCTTAAAAGTGTTGGAGCCTGCTCAGTAGCAGGAGAGTTAGGGTGGAAGATAGAGAGGAAGATGTGAGGCTGAGGAAGGAGGCTGAGAGTAAGCCCAGTGGGATGGGTCCCATCTGCAGCTGGATGGAAGGAGAGCTTGAAGCTCACTGGCCCCCTGAGAGAGGACCACCTGTATGGCAAGGAAGGAGTGGCCCAGCTGATAGGCCTGGCAGCAGCCACCAACTCACAAGCAGTACAGAAGAGGATCTGAGTGAGTACAATTACACCCCCTGGGTGGATATGGGAAGGAGCACAGCAGTGGAAAACCAGATTAGCCACCTACCAGTGACTGTTTACCTGCTCATGGATACCTCCAGGTTGCTGGGTGAAAAGGAGAAGTTAATTTAGGGTCTGGGGTGGTACACTAAGCTAGCTCTCCTACAAAGAATGTGCTACAGAGAAAGCTTGTAAATAGTTCCAGGAAGTTGTCCTCAGCTCATCAGTGCCCTTCAGCATCCTGTACACTCCTAAAGGCTCGTTCACACTTGACTAATTTCTAACTCTTGCCAAACGCCCCTATAGCATTTGACAAACCTTAGACAGGCGTTTGGGAGGCATTTTTAACGCTCTTCAAACGCTCCCCAAAACACCCTATGCATGTTTTTTGAGGCTTTGATAGGCGTTTGCCAAGCGTTAAAGCCGCACCACAAACCCCTATAATGAAGTTTAATGGTATTAACGCTCCGCAAACGCCTCGCAAGCATCTCGCAAAATGCCTGCAGGCATTTGAGGAGCATCACCATAGACTTGAATGGGAGGCTTTAACTCCTCCTGACTCGACATGAGGCATCAATTTTGCCGCAACGAGATGCTAAAGCTTCATTGTGAACAGTGCTGTGTGCTGCCATGTGTACAATTTTCATAGGCATTTGAGGAGCATTAAAAACACTTCCCAAACGCCTGTCTAATGCCTGCTAACAAAGCTAGTGTGAACTTAGCCTAACCCTCTCCTAGTCCAAATCCCCTAAATAAAATAACAAAACCAAAGCTCAAGGACTGATTTCTGACACTGGATGCAAGCTTTTGTGGAAGTGTGTGATTTTGAGCTGTGCAGGACTATAGGGGGACCCAAATCTCTTAGCGACCCCTAAGGGGGTAAAGCTACAGAAACCTGGGGTGCAAGCAGACAGCAGATCCTACAGGACAGGGTCAAAAAGGCACAGCAAAGGCTGGGAGGGCTGCAAGGCCCCTAAAATGAAAATGAAGCAAAAAGTGTGCAGACCACCAAAGGTTTTTGCAAATTAAGCAAAAAGTGTGCAGACCACCAAAGGTTTGTAATTTCAGACAATTTGGTCTTCCTAAATGATTGGGTTCTCTATGCATACTTTGCTTAACCTCCCTGGCGGTATGATTATTTCAGATTTTTGGTGCTGAAAGCGGTACCCATTTTTTTTGCATGGAAATATGTATTTTTTTTATTGTAGGCTGTAATTTTTAGGAAAAACTCATTGAAATCTGTCCGAACAAGAGTCTAGTAAACATCCCGGGTATGAAAAATTTGAAACACAAAATCATAAATTATAATTTAATAAATAATCATAAAAATAATATAAAAATAATAAAAAAAATTTAATTCAATAATATAATCAAACCAAAAACACTGAAATGTGAAATAGAGCGCCAAGTTCGCACATTGCTGAGCTCAGTCGCAAAATCGTTTTCAGTTTCTGATGACGAATTTCCCCCACGAATCATTATCACTCAATTCTGTAAGTGGTTCTGATTTACTATCGCTGTTCTCTAGCTGATCTAAACCGCTTTTGACCTAAAGGGACACTTTTTGGACGCCATGGACATTTCTCAGTTTCCAGGCAGAAAGAACAGACAAAATGCAGGCAGGGCGCAGGACAAAGCACTAGGGACAATATGTATGTGAAATAGGTTGAAACAGCAATGTTTTACTGTGTAAAATGAAAAAAAAAAAAAATGACATTTTTTAAAATTTTTAAATTTCCCGCCGCCGCCGGCGGCGGCGCCCGTACGTCCCAACGTCACAGGGACAGGACACAGAAGCCGGATGCCGGCATCGGCCGGAGGAGATGGCCGGGGACGCTGCAGGGGACACATCATGGGAGCGCAGGGTAAGGTAAGTGAAGAACACATGCCGGAGCAGTGCCGCATGGTATTCCCGATTTTATGCAATTACTTATACAAATATATAAGTTTGTATAAGTAATCAGGAAGAACTCTAACCAGCATCTCAGGTGGCTCTGCAAAAAGTGCTACTGCCAGATGCAGCAGAGGTCCTGGATTACCGCTTTTGGTACTGAAATGTTACCCCGAGCTACACTCGGGAATACCGCCAAGGAGGTTAAAGTGAATTTTATGGAAAGGCCACCTAAAATAAGACTTATGAAAATTAAATTTAAGTTTTCTAGTTATATCAATCACATTTCCAGTGTCTAACATGTCTGCACTTCATGCAGTATTTGTAAGCAAGCCAGCTGAGGGAATGGTTTACATCCTATTTTCGCCTAGAGCTGCGTCTGTACTCCAGCGCCACAGTGATGGGCAGCATGCATAGATGACATTGTAACCATCCTGTACATCTCATGCAGGTGCTTAGTTGGACTGCTCTCACACTCTCTGCTTTGTGCAACTGACACTTGAGAGAGAGCTGTCAGCAGTTATTTTATACTCAGAAGGAATCTAACACACATAGAAAATGTTAGGACTTTTGCGGCACTGTATACATACGGATGTGCTGTATACATAAACGTTTGATCTTTATTTATGCAATTACAGTACTAGTTTAATTACAGTACTAGATTTAGGCTAGGTTCACAACTATGCAGTTTGGGTTCAATCTGTTTCTGAAGTGCCTTTTGCATTTTTGCAGATGCATATTTTAAGCATTTTATATGCATTTTTGCTGTGTTCTCAGGGGGGGGGTTTAACTTGTTTCTGGGCAGGATTAAAACGCAAAACGAGCCAAAAAACGCATCAAAAATGCACTACATGCCTTTCTGCAACGTCTCCATTAAAGTCTATTGAACCAAAAATGCAACGTTTTGCATTTAAAAAAGTGCCTGACCCTTTCCAAAAAAAAAAAAAAAAAC